TGGTTTTTTTTGTGTGGGGGAGGGGGGGAATGTGTGCACATCAGTGGCAATCGGGTCGGCTACACCTCGCACTGGCCTGCTTACTACCTCTGGGCCTCAATCACTGGTTTCACAATGGTTCTCTCAAGACGTTTTATGAATCAAATAAAATAATGGGTTGTTTCACAAACCAGTCACAGATCTGACAGGGAACGACAAGTAACAGTGGCCTACACTGCTGGTGCTTCAGGCCATGAGGAAGCCGTCGGAGTACGTGGCTCCAAGCACGCAGCGCCAGGCAGGCCAGACCTGGGGCCTTTGCACACCTGCTTCTTTTCCTGAGAAGGCTGGACAGATCAGCTCTGCAGCTGCACTCACGTTTTTCTCCTGCTCCCTGGCCAACAGACACTCCTGTATCTGCAACTTCAGTTCTTCAATCTCCTTCCTGGCCATTTCTTCTTTCTCCGCTGCCCGGGAATTGCTCGCTTCTATGTCAGACTGCAACTGCCGCGTCTGCAGCAAGACAGCTTCACGATCTGAGAAAGGAGAGACCTGCGTAGATCAGCCTACTGAATCACAGGGGAGTTTCTCGGTATTTTCCTTAAACAAAGCACGCTCAGTGACAGTAAATCCTGACCTTCTGCCTCACTCGGTCATAAAGACACACAGATGACGGAATATAAGCCACCCAAGCTCACGTGCATGTTTATGCAAAGGAGCAGCCTGCCTGTCTGCAAGTCAGGGTGATTTGACTACTTAATATAATCATCAATTACACCTGCTCTAAGAGACACCCATCAGAAGTCTGTATGACTCAGGCTGCAACTGCGCAGGAACACTGGGGCTGAGCTGCTTTTTACCATGACCGTGGAGTACCGGTTTGCAGCTGGTTTTTAAGAGTGTAAATACTCTTTCAACCAAGTGCAGTTTTTAACTGTGGTGCAATGAAGTGGCAGGTTTTGATCCACACTTTTTGTGTGTTTTGTGCAAAACAATCATTGACAAAAGGTACAGCCAGATTTGTTATTTTAAGGTGTATAAATGTAAAACCTTGGCTAAAAAAAGTGGGTTTGTTTCTAAGGACACTGCAGAGAGACTGTCCCACTGTCACTGAAAGATACAGAATTTTGAAAATTCTAACAGCTTAAATATGGGAATCTGTAATTATTACAACCTATAGACAGGCAAGGCCAGCACCAGGGACTGTGCTCAGCTAAAGCTGCCTGGGATACAGTAAACACGTTTGGTCAAACCTTGACTGAGCTGGTTCAGTTCTTCCTTCTGTTTCAGAAGCAGATCACTTTTTTCATCAATCAGCTGATCCTTTTCCTTTATTAAGGAAGCCAGATGTGAAACCTGCAAAGCAGAACAAACAACAGAGTCATTGCAGACATAAAACTGGAAGAGGGCACTGAAAGATTTCAACATAGGTCAGAGGTTTGTTTAGGATTTGGGGTTTTTTTGTGGCCAGGGCTGAAGAAGAATTTTTGTATCAGTGACAAAGGCAGTGGCTTTGTCTCTACCTGGCAGGGGCCGCCCGAGCTCTGCGCTAGGCACTACAACACCCTGAAAGAGGCGTTGGAGCAGCATTATGGCTAACAATCTATCCAGAAGCATCAACCCCTACGATGCTGACCTCACTGAAAAGCACTAAATGTGCTGTAGGAGCTCTGCTTCCGACAGAGACTGTGCCCCGGTTCCAGAGGGCCTCGTAACCAGCAGATGGCAGCTGTAAAACCACCTGGACCAAGCCTGCACAGACCTGCAACAGGTCCCAGAATAATAAAGAAACCAAATGATGGGACTAAATTAATCCAAACTGGCTCTGTTGGCAGTTCCCAGCTTAGGCAAACACAAGCTCACATTATCCACCAAAATGTGCGTAACTCCTGAGCCTACAAACCTAGGAACATCCCTAACTTTGCAGCCAGCAGTATTTACATTCTTCCAGCAGAACGCCTCACATTGTTTGCAGGCGTTTACCCAGACACCTCCAGCTCCAGTTTGCTGAGGCAACCACTGCTCTGGCACGCTCAGGATAGGACTGTGAGTAATGTTGCTGACTGTTGTGATAATTAAGCCCAAGTCTAGCCTGGGCAGTGAAAGGTGGGGAGCACCCACATGTATTTCAGTGTTAACCAACCTGCTGTTGTAATTCCTCTCTGTGTTTTCGTGTTTCTTCCAGTGCTTTGGCAATTTCCACGCTGACGGTCTCTCTGCTGCTCAACTCATTCTACAAACCAGGTAATTCAGAGGTTACTCGAGACAATTAAAACCAAGTCAGTCTCTCAGCTTTAAACCCAAATCCATTAGCAACTAGAATTTATGGGTGTTCTAACACACAATGATTTATGCTTCCAAATGAGTTACTGTTGTTTTACTGCACTGCTGCTCTCCGCACATGGAAAAGCAACACGGAACGGATGTAGGAGGCCAAACATACCCGGTGCTTAAAAGATCTTTGTAACAGCGACTTCAAGCTAAAAGAAGGATCTCCTTCCTACAACTGATCTTTATTCCAACTGTGCACCCAAGAGTAGCTACAGAAAAAAACCAACTTTCAACAATCTAAAATTACAGTCCAAAGACTGAGTATACGCTGTGAATACCTGACCAACCC